CTGAAATAATTTTCGTTTTATAGAAAAGTCACAAAAATACTAGAGATAGAAAATTCCCGAGAGTGTACCCATCATCTGATCTCTCCTAATATTAACGTTTTACAAAATCACAGTTCAATGATCAAAACCAAGAAATTAACTTTGGGACAATGCTATTAACTAAACTAGAGGCCTCGTTTGAATTTCATTGTGTTTTCACTAATGTCAGTTTGTGCTAGGACCAAGTCTAAGATCCAGGTTTTATTTACGTCTCCTTAGTCCCTTCCAGTCATGTCCAGGAGCATGTGATGTCGTGTCCCATTGTTAATTCTGATTACTCGTTTAAGTTTTATCTGATAGGTTTTTCCACTTATGATTTTTCCTTTTGTAAATAAAAAAAGTACATCTCAGAGAGCCGCTTTGAGACTATGCAGATAATCTTGTTTTCTCTTCAAACTTTGCCCATTGATTTTTAGCATCTAGGCATGGATTTCACCTGGAGTCAGGGTATTTTGAACCATGTAAAATAAGCATTCCTGAATGAATGACATGATGATACAAGTGTACCCTTTCCCCGTAAGGGGGTTTAGGGTGTGTTTCTTACAGGCTGAGATAGGCCGCTAGCATGGAGGGGTGATGATGCAATACACGTGGCTAAGTACAAGTTGACGCTCATGTATTCTAACCTGAGAAGAACTATTAGTTAGCTATGCTAATGATTATAGAGGCAAATGTTCTGAGGACAATGGCTAGATATCCTGGAACCCTAGATCAAAGAAACATTAGGAATTAACACTTTATCTGTGTCCCTTTATGGATTTTTTTTTTCTTTTGATCCAGCCAAGTGCCATGGATGAAGAATTAATCTTCCCTGTGGTATAATGGTTGGAGTTGGCATGTAAAAGACTTGTACTTTCTCTTAATGGGAAGTAGGTGAGCCACTCTAAGGCGACATTTTGAAACCAGTATTGGTAAAATATCATTCGGTGGTGGATGGAGTATGTTGAGATCTTAAACTCAGTGGGGCCTTGAATTTCTCGAGCAGCCACTTTAAGTAACTGCCCATTTGTTGGATATGACTGTTACATGGGAAAGGCTCATTTTCAGTAGGAAAAAAATGAGAGAGTTAGAATGCTGTATTATCAGTAGATGTTTGATGTACAAAGCATTGCTTTCATAGCTCACTGCTAGTTTATGAAATAAAGGATTTATTGGTACCTTGAGGAAATGGAGAACAAGGCTTATTTTGTGGAACACAAATTATTCACAGAATGAAATAATTTGCAAAACTGATTTAAACGTCCAGTCGATGTAGTCTCCAGAGCAACTGATCAATCTGAAAAAGAAACAGATTTGCTTATGAAAATCAACAATGCAGTTAAATGCATCTGTCAGTCCTTATGAAAAAGTACTAGTAGTAACACATGAAGGGGAGAAACACCATCAGATTTAAGAACTCTCAAGAAGTGTATGAAGACGTGAGATCATGATTGACAGCCTTAGTTAAAGATGCCCCACTGGATATGATAGATCTTGTTGACTAAATTTTGGAAAACAGTTTGACAGTTTCTTTTAGAGTTAAACATTCACATACTGTAGATAACCCAGCATGTGCCAAGAAAAAGGAAAACAGCAATATTAATGTGACTGTCCAAGCAGTGTTGTTCATAATAGTGTAAAACTGTAAAGCCCACTCACACTTATTCATAGTAGTAAAAGAATAAAAGCCCACCCAGGACCGAAAGTGTGAAAACCAGCTCAGACTATAAAGGAAAAAGCAGTCCCAGTCCTATCAGGCTAGGAGGACACACGCAGCTACAGCCGGTCACAGAGTTTATAGGGAGCGTTGTTTCTCCCAAGGTCGTGGAGCAGCAGTAAACTGTGGACCTCTGCTGTCTCCCCAGTGTTGCCCCCAGACCCGCTTTGTGCTACCCATTTTTTACTGGGGTACTCGGTTGCTAAGTGGCCCTCATTGCCAGTGTAATCACGGCTTCTCCTAATCCTGCCTCAAAAACAGCATCAGATTCAGAACTGATCTCTACTTTTAGACTCTTCTGGAATCCTTCAGAGTTCCTCCTCTCTCTTCCTGTGACTTTCCACAGCTCCCACAGTGCCTTCCTCACTGGTCAGTCAGTCTGATGTGGACAGACCACGGGCCTGCTCCTGGGCAGCTTAGCTAATTAGGCTTTGACGGTGGCCCCCAAACTGGAAATCCATGTTCCTTGATAGATGAATGGATAAGCAAATGTATGTTATAGTCTGTCAGTGGAATACAACTGAGCAATAAAGAATAAACTTTTGGAATATATAAAACAAGGATCAATTTCAAGAGCCTTACAATGAATAAAAGAAGTAAGACAAAACATACTGTATTATTCCATTTATATGGCTCCAGAAGAAGCAGAAGTAATCTATAATGATAAAATCGGAACAGTGGCTTCTGGGGCCAAGGGTTATAGAGTAAGATCAATTGCAACCAACACAAAAGAACTTGCTTGGGAATGGATTGGAGTGGTGCTTAACAAGGTGTGTGTTTGTGTGTATGTGTGTATGTGTACATACGTGTACGTACGTACTTGTACACACTTGTTGAACGCAATGAACCCATACTATTAAAATGTGTTCATGTTATTCTGTGTATATTATGCCTTAATAAAGTTCAACCAAAGTATGAAATGCCAAGATATTAATCTAGTGTTGGGGTGAGTTGCAGGTAATGGGGTTAATAGCTACTCTAAACAGTCACCCAGAGAGACCTGGAATATAGATCGCCCCAGATACACCTCTTTGTAACACTGCTCTCAGGTTAATGTAAATATGGAATATTAATTGGTCTTTGCTATACTAAGTGAATTGTCCCTGTTACCAGCATTGTTTGTTATAAACCCTCCCCGATTGGCATGCGAACGGCATTCAGAGGGAAGTGACATGTCACACACTCCAAGAGGGCTACATGTCACACATAAAGTAGAGGAATAGGTTAGGAATGGAGGGGAAGCTTCCTTGAGTCTGAAGTGGTGTGATCCACTTCACACTTGCTTTTTTTTGAGGGATGCCCCATGGAATAGAGGGGCACACAGCTGTGCCTGCCATGCTGCCAGACCTCCCTATGCAATGGCTGCTTGTCCGAGCTCATTTTTGGCTGTTTTGTGTTGGAATAAGCTGAGGAAAACGTGTTGACAGCATGTTACAGTCTTTCAGTCTTGTCAGTTCTGAACCCAGGATCATGCCATCACGAGTCAGTGGTTGTGCAACATGCTTTGTATTTAGTCATGGTAAACATGAATTCCATTCTTTCAAAAAAAGTTATCATTTATTTTCTTTTCACAGTTAAGCCTTCAGGTACAAGATGTTATGTTGATGGACCAGAAGAAATTGGAAATGACTTTAAATTAAAGTGTGAACCGAAAGAAGGTTCACTTCCGTTGCAATATGAATGGCAAAAATTGTCCAACTCAAAGAAACTGCCCACACCATTGATATCAGGTACCGCTGATTATACAATTATACCATGTGCCACTGATTTGTACTTAAATCTAGTAGGGTGTGTGTATGCGTTTAATTTATTGTTAAATCCCCAAGTACCTTTCCTTTTCTATACAGAGCCATCAGGATTTCATAGGAATTAGTGTTTTATAATGACAACTTGGTATCATGTGATATAGAGATATTTTTATAACATTTCACAGTGTTGGATATAATTGATTTCTTCGGTATAGATTTTTTAATTGATGGTAATACTAATGGAAAATGTTCATGATTATAAATTAGTGGCTAAGTTAAAACAAGAGTTGGATCTTCAGAATTTTGCCTAGTTCCTGTTTAAGATACGGTAATTTACCCACGGTGTGCCTGTTCAAGCAAGCATCTCTGTGGCACTAACTAGAAAGTTACAAATTGGTTAAATCCAGTGTTCACTTTGTTATAGTTGACCTGCTGTTTAAACTGATTACCATGCTCTACCCTCCTGCCACCCTTGGTCTTAAGTAGGATTTCTCTCCACCTCTGTTTTGTTTTTTCGAACTAATAAACTATAAGACCACTTTGGACTTTCTTTTGTTTGTTTCATCTATCTGGGGGCGGTGAGATAGGTTTTGCAAATCTTCCTACTGCACCAGAACCTTCGTGGCATGGAATATTTTGTATAATCAGTGTAGCTCTGCTTCAGCTGAGACTCCCTGTGCCTGGCCAAGGAGGTCATGGTTATTTTCGCCTTGATATAAGTGAACTGTTGGCACAGTTGTTTGCATTCTGGAGACAGTGCGTGTGTCTCCCTGGCAGTATGTTCTGCACCTAGTTTCAGCCTATCTCACTTCTGCCTGGATTGTCAAACTTAGTAGATTTTGCTTTACTAAACACTTAGCAATACAATCCTGCAAAAATGGGTTTTGCTCTCCCTCCGTTTCTTTTCATAGAAATGACTTCATCTGTTATGTCTGTAAAAAATGCCACTACTGAGTACTCTGGGACATACAGCTGTACAGTCACCAACAGAGTGGGCTCTGATCAGTGCCTCCTGCGCCTGGATGTTGTTCCTCGTAAGTATCTTTTCTGTTCTGATAACATTTGTTTCCCTTTATACAGCCCCCTTTGCTTCAGTCAGCAAGAGTGTATGGAGAGCAAGTGGATGCTAATGTGGTTTGCTTGTTAGCTTTCCTAAGTCAGGAAAAGGAAAAATTACATTTTATTAATAAAACCTTCATTATTATAGTGACATTAAGAAGGTAAGAGTTATCAAATCAACTGTTAAACCATATTTAGCCATTATAAGCACAAGCTATTTAGAATATTCTTACATACCAACCAAAATAGCTGGAAATATTAAAATCTTTTAATCTGGTTTTATCACTTTTCCACTTGAAATAGATTGTACAGTTCAGAGGAAAGTTTTTTTCGTGAATTTCCCCCCTGGATCAAAAAGAGCTAATGTGTCATTATTACATGCAATGAAATCAGTCTGTCAGTGTATATCTTAACCATTAACATGAGTAAATATAGTTTTTTTTCTACTATTTATTCTTTTCTTTTCTTTTTTAAAGAATTTTCTTATGAACATTTTATTCTAGCTTCAAATAAAGCTGCGACAACTGCAGGAGCAATTATAGGAATTTTGCTTGCTCTAGTGCTCATTGGTCTCATCGTCTTCTGCTGTCATAAAAAGCGCAGAGAAAAGAAGTATGAAAAGGAAGTTCATCATGATATCAGGTAATTAAGTGACACAAGAGTTGACTGATGGATATGTTTGTCTCTAAAGCATTAGTTCTCTTAACTGTCCAAAGCATTTATCCCTGTGAATATTGAATAAAAGCTATAGCTCTTCCCCTCAACACATTTGAAAGCTTTTGCTTTCAATTTCAAGTGTGCAGATCCAACCGAACCTCTGACATGCCCTCTCCCCAACCCCCCTCCAATTTTGGACCCTATTTTAAGAACCACTGCAAAATGTCTTATCTCAAGGCTGTGCCTTCTCCCAATAAAGTGCAAGCATGAAATTTTCAAAAACTGGACCAGATGTTGGGGTTTAAAAGAAAAAACCTGATTGCATCAAATGACATAGTTCATAGAACTATTGGTAATATGATTTTATTTTTTAGAATATTCTAAACCAATAGATCTTAACTAGAAGTGTATATCGGCATATTGGATTATAGAATTTTTTAAAATAATAATGAATGATTTAAATAACACCCAGAAATTGACATTGGGTAGGTAGCGGGTGGAGTCTGGGCACTTATATTTTTAAAATGTACCAGAGGTGACTCATATATATATATTGTCAGTCTTTGGGTACGAAAATTATCATGCCTAAATTCCTAGTTTTTGCAGACTTAAATCTGCTATTTTCATCTAAGGTCTTAGATAAGTAACTTTCATAACAAGAAGGATTTTTTTGCGGGGGGGGTAGAAATATATCTATAGCTGTTAGTGCTTTATCAACCCTAAGTGTCATTTGACTGTAATTAGATTATCTCGATTGGTGATACTAGAATATAAAAATATTTGAAGTTTGTTGCTTGTAAGACAACATAGAATCATAAGTTTTGTAAAAGCTTTCATTATATATGAAGATAATCTATAAATAAAAAATTGGGGACAGATACACAGTTCATGACCTTGTGTTTTATTGTACTTGTTATTTTTGTGTCACATACACACTTTTATATACTTAATGCTTAAATAGAGTATCTTTCCCTCACCCCCACCCATGATTCATAGGTTATATAACTGTGAATTTCTAGAAACTTGTTCTTTGAACTTGTGTTGGAATCTTTGCTTTCTAGGGAAGACGTGCCTCCTCCGAAGAGCCGGACGTCCACTGCCAGAAGCTACATCGGCAGCAATCACTCGTCCCTGGGGTCCATGTCTCCTTCTAACATGGAAGGGTATTCCAAGACTCAGTATAACCAGGTGCCAAGCGAAGACTTCGAACACGCTCCTCAGAGTCCGACTCTCCCACCTGCTAAGGTAGCTGCCCCTAATCTTAGTAGGATGGGAGCGGTGCCCGTGATGATTCCTGCACAGAGCAAGGACGGGTCTATAGTATAGCGTAGAGCCTCCATGCTTCTCATCTGTGTGCTCCACGTTTCCCTTCTTAAAATGTGAAAACCTGTTGTGTTCCAAATTTTGCTACCAGCCTCAAAATAGATCCAAAAGAAGTTAACCAGAACCTGTTAAGAGCTGTGCTTCCAAAAGTTTTCTTTCGTGATATTAAAATAGTAAAGGCATTAAGGTAACTAAAGACAAGTTCACCACCTAAAAAAAGATTTCCTTTAAGAAGTTGATTTTATAGGTTTTTAAATGTCATCGCTTAAGCAACATGTAGCACTTTGAATATGAAATCATAGGTGAAGAAATGGGTGAACTTAACCTGCACACCAAGTTGATACTTGAATTATCTGGAAGTGGTACTTTATAATAGCTGCCATTATTTTTAGGATGCCTTTTGCAATTAATTTATGACTCAGTAGTCCCCCCCAAATTGATAAAAGAACGTTCATGGCAAAAATACTTACATAATTTATGTTTGCTCTTGTTTTTATAGCTTCTTGGAAAACTCTAAATGGTTCTAGAATAGCTCTAATAACATAGAAAACACTACAGTGTTCTAGAAATTACTAGTTTTCCCTTCAAGTCATTCATAAACCTCGTCTATGAACGATTTAAGTATTTAATTGATAGACCACTACAGGCAACAGGGACATAGTAAGCTCTTTTATATGCTAAAATAAAGGAGCATCTGCGGATTCATTTAGGAAAGTTGCTGTCAGCACATAGAGCAGTGATACTAGTTGGGCAGAAGTGAGGATGGGTTCTGGATCATGAGTAATCTGATACCTGGAGGCCCGTGGCGGTCTCCAGAACACTGACCAGCTGCATCAAGCATGGAATATTTTGTAGTTCCCAACTACATACTGGCTCTCTACTTTAGGTGATACTTTTTTTCTAATAAGAAAAAATTAGAGCTTGCTTCTTATTTGACAGATAAAGATTGAATTTCCTAACTATTGGTTCCAAATTAAAATTTTCTGGTTCAGTGTTTTATTGTTTTTGGATGGCGTTGCATGGTATACGTTCTAGAAACATGTAATTCTAAATTTGCCTTCTTGAATGTAGTTACTGGAGGATGTTTCTTCATAGATTCAGAATGATGAAATACATTTTAAGCTAGTAGGTGTCCTCCATCAATTCTGTATTTCAGACTTGGGAGGATGTACAGTTGCTATTGTATGGCCAACATGTCTTTGTGTAGTTGCAGAAAATCAAGTTGAGCTTGGAAAATTTTGAGTCTTAGTTTTGTGAAAGTGCTTTATTCTTTAAAAAAAAAAGAAAGAAAGAAAAGGAAAAAGAGTAAAAGGAATACTCTTAACTGCCAAATGTGTTAAATACTGTTTTAGTAGAAGAAAATGAATTTATTGTATTTCCCTTAAGATTGTGAGGGAGTGTAGATATAGTAGGATGAGCTGACAGTTTATAGTAAATAAGGCCTGCAATAAATTATTTCACTAGCTCTAAAACCTTTTCCCTAGATTTTAGTAGGGAGTTGGTTTCTGTTAATCTCTTTGTGTGCTTTGGTGGTACATGCTACATTATAAATTAATATTGCCGTGAATTTATGATTAGGAAAAGTATTGTGTACACTTTTTAATGGTAAATTTAAGCTGAATGTCTGTGTAATGGATTAGCATATAGTTTACATTATTTGGAAGCATTTTTTAAATAGATTTTTAACCTTACATAATATTGCTTTTATACTTGTGTTAACCTTTTTCTTCTGTGCCTTTTGGATAATTTAATTTTTATTATGAATTTCTGGTGCCTATGAGCTAGCTATCACCTGAAAGGTGCTTAGAGGTGAAGGTACTGTTCCTCAAAATGCATCACTGTGACACACCTTTCTATCCTCACACTTTCAATCTTGCCTCCTCTTTTCTGTTCTTTATAGATGTAAGTTAACTGATAGTGCTATTCATAAAGATTTTAAAATTTCAACATCCCCAACACTCTTCAACTGTGTTTCTGATTTTATAACAGTAACTATTTTTGAATGCCAGATGTCTGGTTTATTTATATGAATAAAATTTATTTATAAGATATTACAAGAGTAATAACAGCATAAACGTTAATAAAATTTTGGTCCTTTCTGTTCCCCGTTTTCATGTAATGAAGATTATGCTATCAATGTAATTAGGAATTGCTACACAAAATGAACATGTATGACTTACCTTCTCTTAGATTTTGTAGTTAGTCTAGGATTAGCTATGAGTAAATCAGAATCTCTTCCAGAAGCTCTTTCAGTCTAGGTCCATATCACCTACAACCTGAGAAACGAGCTCATAAAAAATCAGTTGTATAACCTGAAGAGACCTGTTAGGAGTAATGAAGTTTAAGGGACAGAATTCATTTGTAGGCCATGTCTCCAGCTACTCTTATTGTAAATTTCGATTAATCCAAAAGTCAGATAGTTCTGATGACTTTCCAAAGCATCCCCACTGATAGTTTCAGTTCAACCAGAGATCAAATATTTGTTCTAGAGTTATTATTAGTAGTCATGAAGCAGTTCAACAAGAAATTGTTATTTAAGCATTTCCATTAGAGCTAAATAATATCAGACCAGGACGGCACTGCATCTTCGAGGCAAAACCATTTCTTCACAGAAGAGACTCGCCACCGTCTTGCTGAGAGTTACACAGGAAAACTCTTAAAGAAGTGATACCATACAGGATGTAGGTCTGTGCTTTGATATGTATTTTATAGGTGCTCTTTTTCTTATTGACACACTTACTAATATTCCCTGTTAGAAGGCCCTCCGTCCCCCTAAAAAAAAAATGTTATTGCTTACACTGACCAGTTACTCCAGGTAGATGACTTCTTTTAAATTCGGGCTATCTGCCATGGAATTGTTACAATGGAAACATAGTCTGAGTGTGTTTCAGGAGGAGGTTAATTCAAGAAACAATTTGGTTATTGGTATGAATTAATATCTAATTTTCATTAAAAAGATAATTTTCAAGATTGAGTTCCAGAAATTTGGAGCAAGTGAAGGGGCAAGTAAACATTTTGATTGAATATAAAAAGAACTCATTGCATGAAATTGGATATCAGATTTTGTAATGTATGGCTTCTTAAAATAACCAGTCTATCTTTTTGTGTGCGTGCAGCATGTAAATTCGAGATGTGAATGTTTAAAAATTTTTCTAATCTCTTTTCATCTCCACAGTGTTTAGGGCTTTCAGATGCCTTATTCCAGTGTAAACAGAAAAGTCCATATTATGTAGTTAATGCTTTGATGTGTCATGTAAGGAGTAATTTATAGAAAATGTTGGCATCATTTTAACTTTTTAGTGGCTTGTGACATTATAGATTATATATATGTATATATATCTTTGTAATATTTCTGTGTTTAGGAGTGTAAGTGTTCTGGGCAAGTTTTACTATTTCAGATGCCTTTGGGTATTCTTGGAGTAAAGGCAATATACAGTTGGATTTTTTTTATTCATTTGCCTATTTTGACAACTAAAATATGGTCCATAACTGTGTGTAAATCCTACTTATAAATATTATAGAAGCCGGAAAGAATAATAAATAAATTTGTTAATTGCAGTTCTGTTTAGTAACACCAGCAAATAGTTTATCTCATGGATAGTAACACCAGCAAATATTTTATTTTATGGATAGTAAACACTAGCAAAGATTTGCTGCATCTGGCTTCTTACCATTAAAACCAAGTTTTACAAAATATCCTATCTGATAATATAAGAGTGTGGTGATATCAGTTGGATTTGGTTTTGGTCCTGGACACCAAAAGTTTCAATCAAGGAAGAACTTTGTGTTTTCAGCTAACTTATTTAATGACACAAGTGTTAAGAAGACCACAGTTCACTTATTCTCATCCCTAACTGTGAATTTTTGTAATAAATGCACTTGTACTACTGAGAAAAAAATATTTTGACACTTCACATATGCAAGTAGAGAATTGATAGTGTCAGTTTCAAAAAAAAAATGATTTTTATATTTAGTTTCTGGCTTAAATATCCAATGGTGCAGATTTTGAAATTTGTACGAACAAAATAAGGTTAAAAAACCAAGAACTTGCTCTAGTTTTGTGACCTTGTGTACTTTTAAAATAAAATCAAGAAAGTAGTTTTCTGCCTCATGGTGTGGCTTCATTCTTCATTGTACCATTTTTTTTTTAATGCCTACTTTATAAAGCTTCAGTGCGCTATTCTTCTGCTTTTCTGAGTCAAGGTTTCCTCCTCCTCCTCTGCATACTTTATTAAACAGAATAAAAATCCGAAAAAAAAATCATGTCAATGAAAACATGTCAAACATACATATATATAAATATATATCCCTACTCTCCTGTGCATTTATATGATAGTTTGTAATATACTATTTGGGGTTGAAACTTCTAAAGTTCTGTGATCATTTCATAGTATTTTACAATATAAACTCAAGAGTTTTTTTAGCTGCATCAAAAATGTGCATGCATATATGTATTAAATATATGCACATCTGGTTATGGTTTACAGCTTTTTTCATTGACTCTAAACATTGATTTCAGGAAAAACCTGGATAGGCTGGTAGTGATTTTGTAAGAAGACAATTTGAGGAATACTTTCTTTATACTATAGTTTCTCAGTCTTGCCACTTCTGTCATTTTGGGCCGGATAATTCTTTGTTGTTGGGGTACTGTCCTGTGCTTTGTAGGTATTTTAGTAGCATCCCATAGCCTCTACGAGGTGCCAGAAGCACTCCTCCCACCCCCCACCAGATGTGAAAACCAAAAACACGACTAAACATTGCCAAATGTCCATTGGAGTGAGGGGCAAAATCGCCCCCAGTTGAGAAATTTTCTACTTAGAGGTTAAAAGGAGAAAAGCATAGGCCCTTGGGGTCAGACGTGTTTGAACACCACACATTACTAGATGCTTCAGTTTCCTAGTGCTTAAAATGGGCATAAAAATACCTGTATCACAGGAGATGTAATGAAAAGTTTTTGCATTTGTCCCTGGTAGCTGGGATGCTGATTTTAATACACAGATTTTCAAAGAACCAAGATTACAATAGAAGATGCTAAGTGAAGCTACTGAATAAAATTTAATGCCTTCATTTAAACTATATTTTAATCTTGCAGCTCTAAAGGCCAGATCATATTTCTGAAAGATTAAATAAATACCAAATGGTAAAGCCGATGAAACTGAAACGAAAGTAAATATAAAGTAATTTGTTATTAAATAAAAGTGGTTTAGTTCTAAGTCATAATCAAATGTAATTTCTAAATGCAATAAAGGCAACTGAAAAGATCGGGAAAGCAATCTTAGGAACTTAGCTCAGTTTTTGTGTTGATATTTCTGAAGTATATAAATGAAACGTGATTTGTCGTTTTGTAACTTAAATGATTTTTTTAAAACTGGTAACTATAGAAAAAAAGTCGTCCTAAGGTAACTACAGAAAAAGAATTTGAGGAGTTAATGAAAAACCAAGAAAAGTTTCACTTCAGTTAACCAAGGACTAGGGCCTTGATCAGTTTGCATCTTGTTTTCCCTGCTGAGCTGTGAAAAATTTAATTCTAATGGAAAATGAGGTGGGAGAAGATACAGGAAATTACAGAAGTGAAGCCTGATGTCATTCCCAAACAAAGTACTAGAAGTCATCATGATCTTGATTTGTCTTTCTGTGTCATTGTCCCCAATCTAAGTGGATTGGTTGTCTTAAAATGTGAACATGATCATATTAAAAACCAGGTCATCTTAACCTGATATGAAAGGTCTCTCACAGTCCATTCTATTTCTCTATGGTTTATTTTCTCCACACCTCCAGGAACACCTCTGTGTGCTTGGTAGGTGCCAGGGTTTCATATCTTTGTGAACATGTAATTTCCTCAACAAGAGAGCAACCCTCCTTGTTTACCTGCCCAGTGCATATTTGCCCTGCCAGTGTAAGTCCAAACACTCTCCTTTGAGTCATTTTCCCTGATTCACACCCCTGCCCCTCACGAACTAACTTAGGTGTGAGTCTGGGCCCTCGATGTTGCCAGTACAGGTCTTTTAATAATACCTTTCGTAATCTAATTGTTTAACATGCTTAATATATCCCCTTTATGAGTTTGAACCTGGTTTATGCACCTTTATCCCCAGTTCCTAACTCTGGCATATTGTTCAGTAAATACCAAATGAATTTTTAGAAAGGAAACTGGGCAGGAAGGACATGTTCGCATTCAGTAAGTTCACATCCTATGTTCTGCACGACAGCTGGTCTGGTTTCTCCCCAAAAGGCAGTGTCAAGAGAAAAAGGGTGAGTGAGTGCGTGTGGTAAGGGGAAAGTGCACATGGCTTAAAAAGTTAACTTGCACAAATATGGAATGGGGTGACCTGACTCAATAGGAACCAACTTAAAAACAAGCCTAATTATTTGGAAAAACTTGGAGAAATATAGAGATTTTAGAAATCAGTTTCTAAAACCCTCCTCAGATTATAACTAAATTGGTCTGGGGTGAAATCAGTGACTTTCCCAGATTTTTAGTTTCATAGCTGGCTCTCTACTACCATACTTAACGCTTGCATGCACATGTATATTTTTTTTAAAAAAGTTTTATACAGTTCTTTTAATTTAGAAAATCCTCTCCTATATCTGTGCATCTGTTATTTGTCATTTATACACCTATCTACCTGAAACAACCTTATTTTCAAAACCATATTAAGGTGATACACTCTAACTTATTTAAAGTCTTCAATTGATGGCTGTTTAAATTGATCCCATCTTTTTGATATGATGAGTAATAATTACAAGCAGTACATGTATATATCATTTTGCATATGTGTAAATACATCTTTAAACTTGTAGAAGGGGAGGTGTTGAGTAAAAAGCTTGAGAGAGATTATTAAAATACCTTCATAAGTGTAGCAGCTTACACTTGCAATGGATGAGAGTGCTTATCTCGCCCTAAATCCTCACCAATACTCTTATCCAACTTTTTGATCTTTCCCTGAGAAGAAAATTACTTCACGGTTTGATTCTGTTGTTATTTGTTCAGTTGAGCATCTTAAGTTTAAAAACCATTTGAGAACTGTGTCCATACGCTTAGCCCATTTTCCTTTTATGTTGTGCTAATTTGGAGTTCTTAAATATTAATAAAATTATCTCTTTGTGATATGAAATAAGACTTTTGCCAGGTTTTCCTTTCTCTTTGACTGTTTATGGTCTCACCCCCTTCTCTATGTAATCCTAATCTTTCCTAAACTGTCTTTGTTCAACCTGACTTCTCCCTCCTTAAAATAGTACCCTCACCTGTCTTTTGTGTTTACCTCCTCTCCCTAAGCAGGTGTCAAGATTTCACAAAGGCGGAGCATCTTTACATCAAATGTTCAACACATAATAGATTCTCGGTAATCTTTGTAATAATTGCAGCAGCTCTGGCTACGCTCTTGTCAAGTCATTGCCACATATATTCCCATCACAGTGTGTTTCTTCTTAATTTATCTTCGGTTTCCTCGTTTCTGGAGTTTTTGCCCAGAGCAGTTTTATGGAATCAGGACAAACTAATGAAGAAAATTAGTTATCTTGCACTTGAAAAGAAGATGTGTCTAGGTCATGTATTAAGGTCAGCTGTCATACACTATTCCAAGTGGAATGTTGGCTACCGGCTCTGTGCTCTTTTAATGTTGCTAAGTGGGACATTTTTCCTTTCTCTAATGTAGTCCTAGAACTGCCATCAGTGAGAACATTTCTAGGGAACAGTTGAATGACCCTGAGAGTACAATAAGAGAGAATGCCAATGATTTGTAACCTGTTGGAAAATCACAGTCCTCAGTCAGCCTCCACCAGTCTTTTGATCTGCTGACAAGGGACATTTTATATGTTCATAGACACAACAGAACACAAAGTAGAATAATTATGTGAAAGGAAACGTAAAAGATACTGCCAACTAAAAGATACTATCTGATATGTCCACGACAAGGTAAAGATGAACTGTATAGTAGCCCCACAGGGCTTTATGAACAATTTTATGTGGGTTTGATTCAAACTTTTTATAATATTGTGGGCAAAAGATTTGTGATAGTTAAGAAAATTTAGATAGCACTTCAAATTCTGTAAAAAACAAACAAAAATCCCAAAATATCCATAGGCTATGTTATCTACTTCAACATCATTTTATGAAAAAAGTCAAGATCCAGAAAGGTTTTGATTTCCTAAGGCCACATAGTTAGGAACAAAGTCTAGGTCTCCTGATTTCTGGTCTAGCATTTCTCTAGGACCCTTGAGTCCTTGAAGGTCCCGGCCCTGAGAGCACTATGTGAAAGGAAAGGGAAGAGTTGGGAGTGTGTAGCTCTCACTTCTCACTCCCTCCCAGCAATGCCAGCCTGGGAGACGGCCAGTTAGAGAGCAGACTCTGGCCCTCAGTGGCCTCTGATCCCTCTCCAAAACATGCTCACCGGTGGGTTCCCAGAGCACATTGAGCATCAACAGCTGCATTCTTCTCAGGGATGCCCGTGGTGGCCCCAGTGCAGTGTATGATTGATAAGAGTCTGCTTTGGTACGAAGCCTGTTTATGCTTGTTATGTTGCCGATTACATAATTTGAATAAATTGTACATATCAACTGTACTAGATATAGTGAAGACAACATATCTGAGGAAATGACTCTGGTGGCACATTACTTCAAAAATATATTTTCATTCACTGCACAGAAACCAAATTTGAAGATTGATATAATAATTATGGATGTAGGTTATGGAGGAAACAGATAACTAGTGAGAGTGTATTGATATATTTTATACATTTAAAAATGTTTAAAGGATAAATAATTTTTAATAGTTTTCCATTAAAACATTTTGGATTGGCTCTCCTAAATTTTACTCTAAATCTGCATGCCAAATTTCTATTCAAATCCTGTATTTTAAACTTTTTGGTATATTCCTTTCTATATTTCACAGTATCAAGCAAATGGTATTTTCAGAATTATTTACCAAAGGATCTTATTAGCTATCAATATCAGATCTTAAGCATGGTCTGTCTTATTACTGGGCAATATTGACAAATAGTTTTTACTTAGTCATAACTTAGATGATAAAAGTGAATTTTGCACTTTTCATGTTCCAGTCCCTTTAGACAAAGTTCAAAAATTTTAAATACACTTTCATTAA